GCCCCACCTACTGTTCAATGTCTATAGTTGGTAATCACACGTCTTGCATTCACTTAACCAGAGACCAGCTTCCCCAGAAATAGGAGGGTTTGAGCCAGGCCCTCGATCAGAGTGAGATTTAGAGAGAGCTGCAAGTGGGAAGTCGGTTGCCTGTCACTCTGGGGGCTGGGGGAGGTTGCTGAATGGGCCTGGCCAGCTGCGAGGGGAGCTGTTAAGTGACTCTGTAGGGTAGCAGCAGGGAAAGAGGCCCAGAGGGGCAGGATTTGCATAATTTTTACTTTTGACATAGATTTGTTCTCTACTGAAAGGCTAAACTCCAAGAATAGAAAATTCACTGAGGTGTGGGGGGTGGAGGGGGGGCTCCCTTATAGCAACAATTCTTGTCTTGCAGTTTTGCAAGTGTGCTTCCTCCCTCGCCCCGTGCCCCGGTCCGCGAGACTTCAGACCATAGGGAGTCCCACACGGAGAAGGCTGAAATGAATTAAGTTTGACAACGGAAGTTCTGAACTCAGTTCATTCAGACATAACTGCCGGCAGGAAGTGTTTGCCCACTCGATGCCAGCACGGCCAGGTGTCAGAGAGTTGGGTTCAGGGGAGGCTCCGCTTTCTGCGTGTGGGGCAGGGCTAAGGAAGGCAGAAGAGGTGGGCTCTTCCCGACACCCTGCTTCTGCTGGACTCGGGTCTGTGAGGTCAGAGCTGAGGGAGGTGCAGTGTTCTGAGGTCACCACCAGGGGTCAGGCCACCTGCTCTCCTGACCAGCGTCGGTCTCAGTTCCTGGCTGTTTTCTTCTCTTGAGAAAGCCTCCTGGGTCCCCCCGCCCTCTCGCAGCCCCGGGTCCCTTTCTCTCTCACTTCTTGTGGCCCATCACTCCCTCCGTTAGGTCATCCCCTCCACCCGTCAGTGCAGGACCAGGCGGCCTGCCAACGACACAGCCTGACATTTCTCTTGACCCTTGGGGAGTCCCACAGCCTCTCAGTTCCCCAACTTCACTAGCGACTGACTGGTGAGCAGAAAGTGCTGTCCGCTGTCTCACCTCTTCTCCTCCCGCCGCCATTCAGCTCAAGTTCCCCGGTTTTGTCTGTGGGTCGCTCCTGACAGGTGTTTTTATGTGGGCCAACAGATCTCTTGGCCAAGCCCAGCCCCTTCTGTGGCCCCTGGAACCCCTTCCCAAGAGCTCCCGCCTTTGATGGGAATGTTCTCAGCTCACCCCAGCATAGCACCCACATCTGTGGGACCTTGATCCCTCTGGGCCCGATCTCCTCCTTTTGTTATCTGGCACATCTCAGACCCTGCTCCTCCAGGTCCCACCTTTTATATACACTCCACACTCCCACCTTCCCCCCAAAAGGGAGTCCCACAACGTTAAAGATGACGCTCCTCTAAACAGTCCTTTCCCACTCTGACCCTGTCCTCACACCCGCTCCAAGAAGCCTTCCCCTCCCCAATCCAGGATCTAGAGCAGTGGTTCTCAACCTTGGCTGCACATTAGAATCACCTGGGAATCTTTTTAAAATCCTGATTTCTGGGCCTCATCCTCCGGAAATTCTGTTTCTTTGTTATGGGGTGGGGCCACAACACCCATAACAAAGAAACAGAATTTCCGGAGGATGAGGCCCAGAAATCAGGATTTTAAAAAGACTCCCAGGTGATTCTAATGTGCAGCCAAAGTTGAGAACCACTGCCCTAGAGTCAGCTACCCTGGGTTTGTAACCCCAGTTCTGATACTCCCTAGTTCCTAGAACAATGTCCAATACCTCATAGAGCCTCAGTTCTTCACCTATAAAATGGATAGTTATTGCCTCATAGGGCCCTTATGAGGAGGAAATGATTAATCTGTATGTAGTGCTAAGGGAAGCTCCTGCCACAGGGTAAGTGCTGTCATGGTATTATTATTGCTATTGTCATTAATAATATGACCTCTTTACTGGTCTGCCAGGCCCTCATGGGCAGGAACCAAGTCAGACCCCTTTGGTCTTCCATATCAGAGTTGCTCAGAGACATTTGCTGACTGAACTAAGGTGACCCCATTCCCCCCACCACCACCTCAGGATCCCAAAGGAAGGAGTGAGGCTGGGAGACACACGAAATGTCCTCCCCTCCTTGATGTTAGTGTGGCCTGGGGAACAGGACAGCCTGCTGCAGCTCCCAAGACTCCCTCCCACCTCTCCTATGAGGCCACTGTGCAGCTGAATGTCCCTGAGCATGGGGGCAATGGAGACAAATTGGAGGGAATTCAGAGGAGTGAAGTCCCCGAGCCCTTGGGAAAGGGCAGGCCCAGCAAAGGAGGGAGATGAAAGCAGTTCCATGTGTGTGGCTTGGCTGAAGGACAGAGCTGGGTGTGGCGGGAGACACGATAACTGGAGACAGGGATTCCAGCAGTGCAAACAAGCTGGAGAGGGCTCCGTGGTGGGGCTGCTCTGCTGAGGCAAGTGGGCTCTTGAAATGCAAACTTGGAGTTTTATGGAGCCCCAGGCAGGCTAGCAAGCA